AAATATCTCTTGAATAATTGTCCATCTGACTTTTTAGATGTGGCTGACAAATTAAAAAATTCGTTCTATGTAGATAATTGTATTACGGGGGGGTGTTTACAATATTGAGGAACAAGAGGATTTAATTCAAAAGGCCAAAAGTCTTATGTCGAGAGGCAGATTTAATTTAAGGGGATGGGAGGAGAGCAATGTTGCTTCCAAATATACTACAAAACATTCTGGGGACACACCTCTTTTAGGAATATTGTGGAATTTAGACAATGATACTTTAAGGTGTAATATAAATGTAAATATGATAACTTGTGATACTAAGGTAACTAAGAGACTGATTCTGTCTATTGTACAATCAATTTTTGATCCAATTGGAATACTTGCACCAATAACTTTGCTTCCAAAACTTTTGTTACAAGAAACATGGAAGTTGAAATTTTCTTGGGACGAGGTATTGCCTCATGATTTTGTAAGTAAATTTTTTGTGTGGTTATCTGATATACTTTTGTTGAAAAATGTGGCAATACCCCGATTCATTGGAACCTTTGCAACAGTTGAATTGCATGTATTTGTCGATGCCTGCAAATATGCTTATGCAGGATGTATTTTCGCGAGAAGTGTTGATTCATGCAGTGTAAAAATTACTCTCTTAAGAGCAAAATCTAGAGTAGCTCCTATTAAGAATTTGACGATTCCTAGATTGGAATTAATGTCCTCCTGTTGCATTGGATCCCGATTATTATATTCTGTTTGTAAAGCTCTTAATGATTTTGATATAAATGTAACTTTATGGTGTGATTCCACAGTCGCATTATGGTGGATCAGAAATCCTGGTAATTGGTCGAACTTTGTAAGCAATCGTGTTAAAGAAATTACTAAGTTGACAAAACCTGAATCATGGAGGCATGTGCCTGGTAATATGAACCCAGCAGATGTGTTATCTCGAGGTTGCTCTGCTAAACAAATGATTAACTCGGAGTGGTTTAAGGGACCTCTCTGGCTAAGAGAAAGCCCTGAATTTTGGCCTACCAATATTGTTTGTCAGCCGAGCGAAGCTGACTTGGAAAAGAGGAAGGTAAAACTTATTAATGTTAACTTTTCAGAGGATACCACTCCTTGGTATGCAGAAAGAGTTTCTGATTATGAGAAAATTGATTCGTGTAACCGGTTGGGTGTTACGTTTTATTTCTAACTGTAGGAAGAAGTCAAATTTGTGTAAAGAATCTAAACTAACTGTTGCTGAAATCATAAATTCCGAAAAAGTTTTGATTCGGTTGGTTCAAAGCTCAAATTTCCCTGACATTGGAGCTCTTAATCCACTTGATGTATTCATTGATAATGAAAAAATTATAAGAGTTAAAACTAGAATATTGGAACGCAAAGACAATTCTGAATTTTTTAACACCAATTTTGTTACCGAGTAAATGTATCTTTACTACATTGTTAATTGAGTCAGTTCATAAGAAACATTGTCATGCTGGAACTCAAATGCTTCAATCTATTTTAAGAGAAAGATTCTGGATACTAAAACAACGTAAAACTGTGCGTAATGTGTTAAAAGGGTGTGTAATATGTCAACGATATAAAGCGAAACCGATGTCTTGCGAAGTGACTCCTCTTCCTGAAGATCGCGTAGGAGATTATAGGGCTTTTGAAATTTTGGGAGTAGATTTAGCTGGCCCATTGTTTTTGAAAGACGGTAAGAAGGTTTGGATGGCACTCTTCACATGCGCTGTGTACAGGGCAATCCATCTAGAACTGGTGACTTCGTTATCAACAGAATCTTTTCTTTTGGCTTTAAGACGATTCATAGCCAGACGTGGCAGACCACGAACCATTTATTCTGACAATGGGACTAACTTCCGAGGAACGTATAACGAAATGTCTAAACTTAACTGGGACATAATAGAGAATGAGGCAAAAATAAAGAGAATAGTATGGAAATTCAATCCACCAACAGCCTCCTGGTGGGGAGGTTGGTGGGAACGGCTAGTTCGCATGGTTAAAGAACTTTTAAGACGTTCTTTGGGAAAATCGGTTTTATCTTATGAAGAACTGGAAACCTTAATTTGCGATTGTGAGTCGGTAATTAATTCTCGACCTTTAACATATATTTCGGAGAACTCTGAAGATGCTATCCCTTTAACTCCGTCAATGTTTTTAATTGAAAATTGTACTTCGAATGTAGCAGATATAGATAAAATTGACTCGCAGCATTTTCTGAGAAGAATTAAATACCGCGCAAAATTTCTTAAAGATTTAAGGAACCGTTTCCGAAAAGAATATTTGGACAATTAATAATGAAACAACCACAAAATAAAGTAACTCGGTTGCCTAAAATTGGGGAAGATAGTCTTAATAGGGGATGATTTAAAAAAAAACGCTTGTATTGACCTTATAGAGAAAATTCCTGTCGGGATGGCAAAGTTCGAACAGTTAAACTAAAAACTCAGAATGGGATTTTCATAAGGCCAGTTCAGCGTATTTATCCACTAGAGATACAAATAGATGAAAGTTATTTAGTTGAAGAGCCTAAAATTAGCGACGATAAGAAAAACGATCAGACTGACGTACAACATATAAAACAGAAATTTACGTCGTCAGGACGGCTTGTTAAGAAGCCTAATGTACTAGACCTTTTTAATAGGATAACCTATGTTTCTGAGCCATTTGCCACTGACTCAAAAAGGGGGGGGGAAGATGTTGCATAATTAAGACAATATTGTTTATTTTTAACTAAGAATTTTACTATTATTGTCTGTTTTTTCAAAGTGTGTTTTGTTTTATTATTGTGTGAAGTTTGCAACTATATTTCTTTTCTTGTGTGGCAACAATGCTTCTGTAATTCTTCGATTTGTATGTTTATGAATTTAAACTCTTGCTCATTTATTTAGCACATTCAGTTATATTTCTCATAATTCGAAACTTTTATCATGTTATTCGATGAGGGGTAGGGCTTGGCGCCCAGGCACCCTGGTGGTTAAGCACCGCACTTCAACAATCTCTTCGATTTGTTCTTTTGGATGTGTGCCAAGTTTGATGGCGTAATGCTGTGGAGAGAGCGTCGTTTGATTGTGTAGATGAAACATGTTGTTTCAGAATGTTATTTATTTAAAAATATGTAAAATAAATGTTTTGTTTTCTGAACTCGGATTATGCAAACGTTATTTAGTTTCAACAAACGAGATAGAATATGGTGAGAAGATACGAATGACTGGGAAGAAGACGTGCGGAAACCCGGCGCATAAGCTGAATTTCTATAAAATATGTGCAATTTTATAGCTAATTGAGGGAAATGAAAGGAATGAAAACAGAATTCTTATAATCTAAGACATGAGGGTACCTTTTCATGTGTTGAGAATTTTTTAACCGATGGGTTAATAATGTTGGGTGAAAAACCCCTGTCAACGACAAGTGCTTTTAAGTAATTTAGTTCTTAATCAAGAACCCATCAGGAGGGGCAAACGTGGAGTGCACAGAAAACAAAACGAGAAAATGAAGCTAACTTCTGTTTAGTCAAATGACATGATTTGAAGTATGGTGGAAGGCAAACCGATAAAGGCTTACAGTAAACTGTAATACCAAAGTTAGATATGTTGCATGTGACCAATATGTCGAAGAACGGAAAAGAATACAATGTTTGGTAAAATCCTAGTATACGGTGCAGTCTTGGCGTGATTTTGAAAATTATCGCCAACACCAAAATGACCCGTTTACTGCTCATCATAAAGTCGCCAAATCCCTTGTGCACCGGATACTAGGATTAAACCCAATACTTCAAGCTCCAAACTGAACTGAATAGCACATTACTGAATGACTCAATTAGCTATAGAATTGCATGTGTTTTACAGAAATTTAACTTTTGAGTCGTTTCTTCTTCTATCAATAAAATTCCCAGTTTCATACTTAAGGACCCCATCCTGGATATGAATTTCTGGAGTATTTATAGCATTCGTTGCCAGAGAAACTTAATTTATATTGGTCAAATTAAGACAGCCTTAAAATTTTGTGTTAAAGAATGTGAAAATCCTCTGTTGCTCATCACTGTTGGTCAAAAAATCACCAGTTTTCTGCAGCCAAAATTATTCAAAAAAACATCTTCCATTGATGAATTAGACTTTCTAAAGGCATTTCACGTTAAAAAAAACTTTTTGTTCTAGTTTATGACTCTAATTCCAATCCATCTTTACCCTCAGAAGGCAATTATTTTTTAGTTTTCTTGTCTCATCAATAGATGGTGCTCAGTAGCTTAACTTCTTTCCATTCTTATTTTATCACGGTACTCTATCTAAAAACTAGTCCTGTGAAATTTACAAACATGTTGATTTTATGCTCATTCTTGTTGTTTTAACTTCAGTAATCATCTGGAAATGCACCATTACACTGGCAAACCCCAAACAAGAAACACAATTCTTGTAAACAAAAATTTTCACATGTGAAAGCTGCTTTGAGTACATTGAGAATGTATCAGTTCCTTTGTATTCAAAAACTGTCCCATTAATGAATTAATCGGACAACCAATCCTTTCTCGTATCAAATCAATCATTATTCCTGCTAAAATTTTGATAATGTATTTTATGTCTGTTTATTTTGTTTTTGAAACTATGAGATTGAATATTGTAACATAATTTCAAAATAATGCAAGCAGAGCTTAAATTTTGCCAAAAATATACTTTTGTTGTTCCAATTTATATTAAAAAATTTAATAATGAACAAAGAAGATAATAGTTATTTAACTTATTTGAGTTATATGAAATAAGTTTCAGATTTACTTCGTAACACTAAGCTACTTTGCAGTATTACTGCAGCACAATTCTATTGAAAAGTTGTTATTCTTTTAGTTTATGCCATGCTTCTAATATATGGAACCAGAGCTATTGTTAAAAAAAAGCATATGAAAAATTTGGTCAAGGGATATATATATCACAGAACTTGTTTTGGGTCTGGTTTCCAGCATATATTTGATTTATGAATGTGAATCAAATTGGATTCAGAAACTGACAGCTGTACAGCCTTATAAAATGTTATTTTATTTATAGAGATATATGATCAATTCTTTGATTTAATTTTTTCATAAAAAAGTTGATAATCTGGATTGCTAAGGAACCTTTTCTTCGTTCCACATAGATTACAGGTCACAAGAATATGCTTTGAACCATTATCTGCAATTTAAAAAAAAAAAAAAAAAAAAAAAAAAAAAAAAAAAAAGACTTTAGAGTACATAATGAAGTAACTAAAGCATCTTCACAAAGAACATTTCACAAAAAACATTTTCACAAAGATTTTATTACATGAACTTTTGATATTTTATTTCTAGATTTAAGACCATGAATATGAAAAATAGCAAGAAAATGATGACTATTTGTGATTACATTAATATAAATACATTTTGAGTGGTAAATCTAGTCAGTAATTTTAATATTATCCATGAAATTTTAATCAAAACAAAATATAATGTTTAGAATCAAAACAAAATACAGTCAAAAGTCGTTAATCCGGACTCGTCGGGACTTCGGCGATTCCGGATTATCGATTTTTCCGGATTATAGATCATTATTTTAAATCTGGTAGAATGGCATGCAGATATAAAAGTAAAAATATGAAACCATAATTTACGAAATAAAGAACAATTATGATCTAAAGGGTATCAAAATTTACAAAAAAAAAAAAAAAGCTTAATATTTTTATTTGTTTACTTTATTAAACATTTCTTTCAATATAAGTTGTTTCAGTTGCTTCGTTTTTTATGTGATAATACATTCTCTTTAATTCTATAAACAGACATAATTTCTTGTTCAGTTACAAAGTTCCGCTGTTCTTCAAGTCCTATAATTGCTGTGTCGAGAATACCGACTAATTTGTCAATCGAAATTTTTTCGTTTTCAATAACCTCTGTCACTTTCTTCGCTATCGGAAGCGAATTATAATGACGAGGCATTTGATTTAAATCATATCAAAGACGGAGTACATCGAGATGAAATACTACATTGAGTAAGCAATTATAAGCCAAATAAAATAAAAACATCTGCTCTTAAGATAAGGATAGTGCTGATAAAATCAACTTCCAATTCATTGCACGCCGCCGCGGCGTTAAAGATAAACAAAGTTTAGATAAACAAAGAATATGCCTCTATCCATTTTTGTTTAATGGACTCCGAAAGATACTTTCGCTTTGTATATCCTTTACATATTAGTAAATATATATCTGAAATTCTATTTGACATAATCGAAAGTTCAAGCTTACTTTTATAAAATTGCTCTAACAGTCTGCAAAAAATAATAATCCGGATCCAATTCGAAGATTAAAGAACAACGCAATCTGCAACATTAACTGAAATAGATAATTAGATAATTTTAGCTTAGCTTATCCCGTCCGTTATACATTAAACGCGCATTCGTAAACGTATTTTGCGCACGCGCACACGCAAATTCGCAGCGGTAAAAGTCTTACGCGCATGCGTCAACGCGACGCATGCGCAGAAAGTTTGTAGCTTTGATGTCCGGATTATAGATCATTCCGGATTATGGGTGTCCGAATTAACGACTTTTTACTGTATAATGTTTTAGGCAGATTTGACTACACTTATAATTCATATTTTTAAATCTCTACCTCAGATTAAAATTTTATAGAAGTATTAACTAATAATTGTAGAAATATCTTCTAAATCATAGCTTCTTAAACTTTTTTCAGTCGTGACCCATTTTTATCACTGAGATTTTTTTTCGCGACCACAGGACCCCTATAATATTTATGAAAATTTTGTGAGACCCTAAAAGCATTGTGCAAATCCGACATATGCGTGAGTGAAACTGTCAAATTTTTCACCTGTTACTGTAATATACTACTGCAGTTTTAAGTCATTACCTTTAATTTCTAATTTTAAGATATAGAATAATGTGAAAATTTTAAATAAGTAACAGACGGAATGACAACTTCAAGTGTAAAATGAATGTTTATATTAGAAAAAGAATGAGTCGAAATGTTTTCGTTTTTTCTTTGTCTTTATTGTCTTATCTTTATCTATATTCAGATATATTGTGTAAAAATATTTGGTAATTATAAAATTATTATAATAAGTTAAAGAAATACCATAACTGCAAAAACTTTTGGTGACTCCCTGTTTAAGAAACTCTGTTCTAAATTATAATACAATAATCTTGAACTGAAGGAGTGCAAATAGCTACAGATATACAAGCAAAAATTAGCAGTCTATAACAAGATTTTAAAAAACATCTATTGATATTTAAAGGCAAGCATCTGGATTTTCCCAGTTTTAGCACTGAGTACGAAACCTACAGTAGAAAATAGCTACTATAATAGCTTTTTAAAATTTATTTTATTTTATTTTATTTTTGCTTAGAAAAAAACAAATGTGATAAACTTTAGAATATGGAAAGATTAGGTTGAATCATCTAAATTTTGTAGCAAATATTTTGAGATGATAAAAATTATTCTAAATCTTTATGTGTTGCGAACTCTTTTACTGGTGAAAAATAGTTTCCAATGATAAAAATGCATACTTTACTATAATTTTGACTTATAATTAATATAATAAATAATGTTCATTTATTCTATTAATCAGAATAGATACATTAAATTTATTTATTCTGTTCTCATCAGAATAAATAAATTATGGAATGGTTTTTTGGTCCCCTCCTGTTTTTTTCAGAATCGAAAAACACTCTGAATATGTAGACACTATTTTTTTATTACAAATTGGCATACAGTCAAAAGTCGTTAATCCGGACTCGTCGGGACTTCGGCGATTCCGGATTATAGATCATCAGTTTAAATCGCGTAAGATGGCATGCAGAAATTCTAAAATTAAAAATATGAAACCGTAATTTATGAAATAAAGAACAATTATGATCTAAAAGGTATCAAAATTTACAAAAAAAAGCTTAATATTTATTTGTTTACTTTATTAAATATTTCTTTCAATGTAAGTTGTTTAAGTTGCTTCGTTTTATGTGATAATACTTTCCCTTTAATTCTATAAACAGACATAATTTTTTGTTCATTTACAAAGTTCCGCTGTTCAAGTCCCGTTAATTGCTGTGCCGAGAATACCGACTAAATTGTCAATCGAAATTTTTTCGTTTTCACTAACCTCTCTGTCACATTCTTCATGTCTTTATCCATTTTTTGCAGCAATTTCACTTTTTGTTTGATGAACATCGAAACATACTTTCGTTTTGTACGATCCTTTGAGAGCTCCAGATTCGGAAATTCTATTTGATATAATCGAAAGTTCAAGTTTACTTTTATAAAATTGCTCTTACAGTCTGCAAAAAATAATAAGCCGGATCCAATTCGAAGATTAAGGAACAACGCAATCATCAACATTAACTGAAATAGATAATTAGATAATTTTAGATTATACCGTCCGTTATACATAAAACGCGCACGCGAAAACGTATTCTGCGCTTGCGCACACGCAAATGCGCAGTCGTAAGAGGTCTTACGCGCACGCGTAAACGCCTATGCGCGTGTGTCAACGCGGCGCATGCGCAGAAAGTTTTAGCTTTGAGGTCCGGATTATAGATCATTCCGGATTATGGGTGTCCGAATTAACGACTTTTGACTGTACTTTATAAAAATTTGAATTTTTAGATGAACAGCTAAAAATTAAATACAGAAATTAACAATATTTTGCTTCTAAAATATGCGTAAAATATTTTTTTACAATTTTTTTTTTTTTTTTTTTACCAAAATTAGAAATTTTAAGTTTAGTGTATGTATATGGTGGAACCTCACTTACTGAGTTTAATTTGTTCTCAAATCTTACTTGTAATGTGAAACACTCATTAAGCAAAACAATGCTTCTCATAGGGATCAATATAAAATAGGATAACGCGTTCCATTCCAAAAAAGTACAGAAACAAATTTATAATAAATAAGACAATATTCCACAAGAAAATTGTCTAAATACATTTGTTTTTGTCTACACATCAAAATTTGGCAAAAATGAGGGACATGATTATCATAAATTAATTTGCTGCTCGCAAACCTACTGCCTTTTTATGGCGACGCTTTTCTATGCACGGTATAACAGTTTCCCAGACTTTCAGCACCTCCTTTATTTCACTGGAAGATTCTTGCTTTGCTGCTCTTCTCAATTTATCTCTTCCATAACTTCTTACTATGACCCAGAATGCAGCTCTATAAACTCTTCCGTGGTTAATTCCTAGCCAAGTTCTTCCACTAATTCATCGATGCTAAACACTTCTATCTCCATATCTTAGCAAGATACAATCTTGTCAACACAGGCTCCATAGACACTTGCTCAGCAAGAATAAGATATTAGCTGAATGCGCCAAGACGCAGGCGGGATCCTACATGTGGCATCCATGTCTCTACGTCACTCATTAAGAGATTCACTTTTTACTCCAAAGGGGCTTTGTCCCTGAAGGACTATTGTTTTAGTTTTGCGATTTTGCATTGAATCACTATAAATGTCACTTTCAAACAGTTGCCACTAAGTGTTAGAGTCATGCATTATATTTGAAGAAATTAAATAATGAAAAATATGCATAAATGTATGTACATTTCTCACATTGTGATAAAACAATGGGGGAAAAAAAGACCTTTTTATCTCCAGCCTGCAGAACTGCGTATCAGAAATTCTAAAGATATGCTCATTTTAAAATTATTTTGCGACATTGCTATTGAACTGAATTTTATGGTTTAAGTGCAAAGAACATGATATTTAATAAATAAAGGTAACACACAAAACGTTAAAAAAAAGTCCCTTTGGGCATAATTTAAAATCTGAAACCTTTCAGATTTTTTTCTTGTTTTAAATTTTCTAAAACTTTAATAATTTTTTAATAAACTGAACGATTTTAAAGCGAGCATTGGCAACACTGCTCAGGGTTAAAACATTGTTTAATATTTTGCTCTTATGCAAATCACTTGTCATCAGTGCTTGTTATCAATCAGGTGCTTGTTATAAAAAAACAATTCAAAACCTAATGCAATTGTGCACTGATAGCAGCAACAAGTGGTGGTAATTTTTGCAAAATAAAATAAAAAATATATTTAAAATTCATCCCATAATTAATTCGGAATAAACCACATACAAAAACCAAAAAACAGAAGTGGCAAGAAATGGAAATGGAAGGAAGGTATGCAAGAAATAGGAGGGGCAAAATATGCCAA